GCCGTGTCGGTTGCTGGCATAAAGCCAACAGTTGCTGTAGACACGTCCAGACACGTAATTCTCCCAGCCCTGGCTTCTAAGCGACTAACGAAGAGAAATTTCTTATTTTGGACTTTTTTGGACTTCCTGCTTTTTTTCTTTAGCTTCGATTCAACTTAGCACCCAGTACTTCATAGCCGAACACGTATATCCCACGTTTTATCCCAGACGTGTACTTTGAATGAATAAGTATGGAGTGACTAAAATACGACTGAAAACAACCTATTTAATTTGATTAAATTAGCTGGCTATCCGCGACACGTTTGTTATACCAGAGCTTCCTTGCATAGACTGGTACTGTTGAAATGTGAAAATAGAGGTGCCAGTAGATAGGCGCGAATGTAAAAAACCTTCACAATTGAAATCAAAAAACGAGGCCCTCTTTCCGCTCGTTGGTTCCATGAGTGGACGAGCGTACCACAGAGACCGAGATTGCTTGGATTAAAGGACGAATTCACGATGAAAAAGCAACCCATTTCAAATTAACCTAGGGATGGTGAGTGGTACACGAAAGAAGGAAGAACCATGAGAAACGGCCCAGAACCCGAGAAATGGGACCCCTTCCTTGCCCGTTGATTCGAGCATTGATGCGACTCTCATCGCTGTGCCCTCTTCAACACTACGCTCTCTCAGCTATCTAATCACTCGCCACGTATTGAACTACGGCGAGTGATCAGATGATCGGTGGGCGGAGATCGCCGGACCCGCCAGCTTTGAGGCATGATAGGTCGCCGAGGTCAAATTTTTCCATGCGAATTGCGCGTCAGTTCGCACCCTCAGGAGGTCCGTGGGTCCCTCAACTAGGTCAGTTTCCCTTTCTTCGACCTTCATTCTAATCGTAAATTCCTCCTTTAAGGTGCAAAATGGCTTTGAACCAACATGGTGGATAAGTTGTTGTTGCTTGGATGGTCGGTTCAACACTGAAAGAAAACCAGTAATATTGGTAATGATCAAATCCTCCCAAAGATAGTTACCTGTTGCCTAGCACTTCTAACGAGGAGGCAAGTGGGGCGTGTCTGAGGACTAAAGAGGGGCCCTTGAGGCACCTCCGGCGCCTTATAACGGATTGCTAATGTCTTTTAGCCGCTAAAGTGCCACCTGTTGAACCTCGTTATGGTTGAGACTTACATTTTTGGCCGTCTTGCATACTTGAGCGATGATTCCGCCGAAAGAAGCGATGATTCCGCCGAAGCAAGTATTGGCTTACGCCCTGCATAACGCAAGCATGCCAGTTCGACTAGTATTCTCTAATTAGTATTCTATTCTAGTAAGAATCGAATGTTTGCTTGTTTCAATCGGGTCATTAGTTCCAGCAAAATTCCAAGGCTACCACGAACAGGGCTCTTTTGGACGACTTTTGTTGTGCAGTGGTCGAATTCCTGGTCCTCTAAACTCAACTGTACCCTCAACTATACAGGTGAAATTGGCAAGGATTATTGTAAGGGGTGAGCTCTTTTGGATGACCTCTGTTACCGCAGTGGCAAACATTTCGTTCCTGTGAGGGCCACTGAATTGTTCCAATCATCGGTGTTTGAAAGGGCGAAGCCCCCCACAACTATACCCTGGCAGATGGAATTAGTAGTTTATTGGAAGGAGTGGGGCCACAAGCCTGGACGCAGCTATTCTGCTGAACATACACCAGGGATTACTCTGTCCTTTTTATGACGTACTTAACATTGTTTGGGGCACTTATAGGCATTCCAGAAGCCATATAAGCTATAATCTCTTGGGTAAGTTCATTTTTGATGTCATGTACTCATGTGACGTTGCGACTTGCGTGGTAACAATAACGTATTGTTATTTTGTTTCTGCTTTTTGTAATTTTTCAAAAAACTGGCCACTTCTCGCGTGTGTTTTGAGATGAATATTTATTTTACGTGCTTATGACTGATATCCTCTTTTTTCAAATAGGTGAAGAAATAAAGGATAAAGGATAAAGCATTTGCCGTTGATCAATCCCTTTTTGGGATGCGGCACGCATTCTACTTCCATTTGTACATTCGTAGTGGCGTTTGAATGCGATGTGGCCTAGTCTGGTACCAATTAACCGACCCCGGAGGGATGGAAGGCTTGGTTGGCCCGGGCGACTCACG